TGTAATTATTCAAAGAGTAAAAAAGTTGCGAAGATAACAACTCTTGGATTTTTAATCTGTAAACCTGAAATATAAAATAGAGAGTAAGGAGGTTTTTAATTACTTAAGGTTAGAAGGCTTTTGCCAGGAGTATGTCGTCAGAGAAAAATCAGATCAAATAACTTGGCTAGAAGAAATCCTTTGTAAAGAGTCGCCAAATAAACTAATATCGATAGGCATACGACTTCTATCGAGAGACCCAGATAAACCCCTGGAAGCTATAATCAACAAATGGCAGAGGGATCTTAGCTATAAACAATGGAGAGAGGCTTTTATTTTAGTATATAAAAATATACATTGTCTTAATCTAGTGGAGTGCCAGTTTAAAATTGTAAATAGATGGTACATGGTAGCCAGCAGAATAAGTAAATTTTCCAAAATGCACGATTCCAACTGCTGGAGATGTAATCTAGAATGTGGGAACTATTTACATGTCTGGTGGGACTGTGGGCCTATCCAATTATTTTGGAAAATGCTTCTATCTAAGATAAAATCTTTGACCTCGGTAGAACTAATTTTTTCACCACAGATATGTCTACTACATTTAGACATCAGGGGTGGGCAACAATGTAGTCCCCCTGATAATCCATATATTGATGGCGGCAAAAGTGATTATTGCAAGGTATTGGAAGATAACTCTGGTTCCAACATGGCCGGTAGTTAAGGAACAATTGAAATTCCAATTAAAAATGGCAAGCAGCCTAATTAGAGGTCAACAAGATAAATATAATTCATGGCTTTCTAGGTTAGGATACAGCTAAACCTTTACCCCTCTTGTGAGGTTTGTTAATATATAAAGGGTTTTTTAAGTTGAATTCCTCCAGAGCTCCAGCAGGAATTACATTTTTCTTTTTCTCTCTTTTTTATTATTTTGACCATGGCTATGTATGTTATGTTTTGTTTTTATGTTATGGTGCTGTGTTCTAGATGAGTCTATGGTTAATATCAGGGGTGATATAATTGAAGATGTTAAGTCTAGATATATTAAGCCTGATTATTAGAGATTACATATGATTACGTGAGATTTTTGTTGTCAGACAAGTCGTGAACACTGTGTTATGCCTAATGTATGCAATGTATGTATTGTTGGCAAAACATTTTTTTCGAATAAAGATGAGAAGTAAAGAAGGTAACTACAGTTATAAAACAATCAACAAGTAACTTTATACTCAACCAAAGTGCCCATAACCCATAAATTGTATCCTACACGCAGCATCAACAAGATTAGGAATACAAAACTGTATTTTTAATGCTATAGTGTTCTCCTCTGCAGTTAGTTTAACCCCCCCAAAAAATCTAAATCAAAATTGGAAAAAAGGGTTTTACTCCCATTTTTTTTTTTTTTTTTACTATGTGTTGAGATCCAATCCCTGCAGCCACTCGATCCACTGCTGTGATGTCAAACCAACTCTTCTCTTTCATCCAATCCAATGCGCATGCATGTGAATTGGTTCTCAAAGCGCACGTGCCTCCACTAATGGTGTGTTAAACACGGCAATATAAGCATTGCCGTATCTAATAAACTAAAACTAAAGGACTACTGCAAACAGACCACCTCGCTGAGATGTAGTGGTCTGGGTGCCTTTACTCCTCCTTTTAAAAGAGTACAAAAAATACAAGCTCAGGCATAGGGGTTAATCCTAGGATTTAAGAATATAACCAAATCATTACTTGTAACAAGATGCTGCACATACAAAATAAACTTTTCGGGTACAGACCTCAATGTACAAATGCCCCCAGGGGTCTATGTGCCTGAAACTTTTGTTCTGTATGTCCTACATCTTGTTTCTTAAATGAGTTGGTGAAACTCTTACACCTTAGAAGCATTAATCTCTTGTTTTTTATACTGCTTTAGGCCAAATCTGTATTTACAGGAAAGGTTGCTCCACATGTAAAGTGGGATTGGCTGTGTTGTGTAATATATTTGTTATGTCATATTCTTAATTGGGCACATTTCACAATCACAATGCAACAGAGTTTTGTTTATACAGTAAAACAAGTTCATGTTACCATCATAATTGACAAATGCCATTGGGGAAACCGTGAGAAAACCTTGACTTTATTTAAACGTACAAGTATGATATACTTTTTGTATATAGTAGGTTGTACTTATTGCATTTATCAAGCAGGTTAGAGTTAAGAGAAGTAAGGTCATGGGGTTTAGTATTAGGAGAAAATAGTTGGAAGAATTAGGTTTTATGTTTGGATAATTAGGGTTAAAGGTCCACTATAGTGCCAGGAAAACATACTCTGGGTCTGGGTGCCTAGAGTGGTCCTTTAAGGCATTTACATTTAAGAAAAATCAGTGCAAAAAATGCCCTAGTGTTTCTTTTTTTTTTATTTTATCAAAAACACATTGATAGACAGATGATATATATATATTGAGTAAGGTTTGTATGGACTTGTAAAGATAAAAACGTTGGCTAAGAGTGTCAGCCGAGACTGGACTGGGCTACACTATATGGGTAGATAAAACTAAACAAATATAAAAAGCTATGACCGTTCAAAACAGTCTAAGCATTTGACTGCGAAAAATGAGTCCTTCACACTGTACAATTAAAGAAAACATCATTTTCCAGCCCATAGCCCTCCCTGCATCAGAATTATTTATGTATGAATTCCAATTTAACAAGTTACATTTAGAAAGAAAAAAAAAGTCTGACACTCAAAGCTGATTAAAATGTTGCTTAGTTTAGATTGCTGGTTACATGCAGACTGAGAGTTGGTGGCTTTTTTACATTATGTGCAAGTCAAAAAAGAAGGAGATTAGTGAGTAATTGTAAGTGCTGTCCATCCTTACATTGTGAAAGTCAGTAAGTATATTTACACAGTAGAGTGTCTGATTGAATGTGGTGAGCTTGTTAGATTAGTGAGGCACTAGCCTTTTGACTGCAATGCATGGTCAACAGCTTGCGGAATTAACGGTAAAATATGGTGATTGAGTGGATTTCAAATGTAAAAAAAATCAGAAAAATAAATGATAGTGAAGTTATATAGCAGACTGTTGCAGCTAATGATGAGAAAGAAACAGCATAAACCACGGCTCAACATTTCAGGTCCTAAGATACTAGATAGGCCTAAACGTTACTCATCACTGCAATCTGTAGGGTCCATGGCACACTCATTCGGTGCAAATTTCTACTACTCAGGGCTTCGTAGTGACATGACAATGGCTAGTGGAGAGTAGAACGAGACCCAAAAATCGGGACTGACTCACCAATATCGGGACACTTGGGAGGTCTGCATAGCCATGTTGCATGCATTACAGATTACTTTATGAGGCAGCATCTGTACCCTATTAATGCTAATAAGTGTGCAGATGTTCATAAAAATACACCTTTCTTTCTCATCGGAGATGTTGCC